CTCTACAGGAGGAGACTTCACAAATAGCAACAAACACATATTCTGGGGGCGATGTTTTTACTATTTCGGATCATTATTCGGCATTGCTTGACTATGTTTAAGCTGTCGTCCCAAACCCGCCTCTAGGAGAACATGCCTGACCTGATCCAAGGGGGAGCGTCGCTCCAGCATCCCGCACGTGTAATGATTTTCTGACCAGCGCCCTAGCAACTTCCGAGCACCAGAGAATTTTGAGTGCCTGCAGGGCCCCGAAAGGCGAACCCCTTGGGACAGTTTTCGCGTGCCGGGCCCCGGGAGGCGATATGCTCGTCCGACGCTTCGCTGGCGTTTCGGGCAGACTCTGTCTCGATGTTTTCCTGGGAGCTCGACGTTACTTTTGTGATGTGGTACCCAAGTACGATGGGAGCAATATCAGGCAAGCGCACTTGCACGTCATTGCGCATTTCTTTGGCCGTTGTCGCTCGTCCCTCTCTCGCTGGGTCCGCCTCGCCTCTCGTACTCGTTCGTCGTGCGTCACCTTCTCTCTCTCTCTCTCTCTCTCTCCCTCTCTGTCCCCCTTCGCGCGTCGCTTCCTCCAAGTGCGAATTCATGTATCATGATGCGCCTGCCGACGCGCCATTGGGCGCACGGCCACCTGACCTGACCTGACCTGACCAAGCCGTTCCCCCCGCCCTCCCCCCTCCCTCCCCCCCTCTGCCTTTTCCGGCAGGGCCCCGAGGCTCGAGGAAGGATCGAGCCGATGGAGGTCTGGGGACGGATCGGCACGCCAGTGGCGGGTGCCAAGGGCGCCCTCGAGGGCGCGAGGTTAGTCGCGCTTCGCGGTTCGCGGTTCGTGTCCGGGTCCTCCTCATCCTCCTCTCCTGACGAACCAACAACACTCAGAGCGTGAATTACCTCCCCCGCTTTCGCTTCCAGGCAAAACCAAGCCATACCACGCGCCTCCTCGTCAAGCGGCCTGACCAGTACAGGCCGCAATTTGGCATCGTTTGGTATCTCTTGGAAGCGAGGGTGGTCAAAAGCGAGGTAGGTTTGTTTTCCCCCGAAACACACACCCATACCCATAGGGGGGTCGGAAAGGGCTGTGGGTGCGTGTTGTCGGGTGGGGGGTCCCCGCTCGAACGGGAGCGTTCCCCGGGGTCCGACGGCACGCGCCCATACCCATATAGCCAGTCCTCCTCCCAACGGCCCCCCTGTGGGTATGGGGGTGTGCTGTTCGTCCGTCATCTCCTACCCTGGGGGGGGCGGGGGCGGGGCGGCGCGAGAGCGCTGAGTCCGTCGCGCTCTCGCGCTCCGCGCGGCGCGGCAAGCGCGAGGTTGGGCGCCCTTGGGGTGACGTCGGGCACGTCTCTCTACAGGAGGAATATTCAAAAAATAATCAGGGAATAGCCTGGGGACGATCTTTCTAGCATTCTTTGGTAATGTTCGAATATGTTTGGTGTATTTTTTCTCGTCCAAAATACTCCCCCTGTAGAGGACATGCCCGACCTAACCCTGTGGTCCCGGAGCAGGAATGGGGCCCCGGTTCTGTGTGCCTCTTTCGGCCTACCCCGGGGCCCCGGTGGCCCCAGGGCTCTCACATAATCGGGGGCGGCCGAGAGGGGGGGGGGGGGACGACTGGGGGGGGGATGGCATAGCCAGGAGATCCGCGAAATCTCCCAGATGTCAAGGCCCCTGTTCTCACTTCACCACTGCCCTTGGCCCCCCCCGTGGTCCGCGTACATGACATGCCTCAGGCCACGGTTTTTGCGAATCCCCCTCTTGGACGCCCCCCTCCTGTTGGACGCCCCCGTGAAGCGACTCAGGATGAGGAGCTGGTCCTGGGGCAAACCCCTGGGTAGGACCCGTGTCCTTCATTCCTTTGGGCAGAAGGAGGGGGGCCTGGTGGGGCTAGAGGGAGCGAGCCCAGCTGGAGGCTCACACCGCCCCTCCTCCAGAGGAGCTGCACGAGCGGCGAGCATATTCAGATCCACGCCGTCGCTGTCTGGATTCGGCGACATGATCCCGTGGATAAGCGGGGCGTATGGTTTCGTCCGCGCGGGCCATCCGCGAACAAAAAAACGCCCCGCATCCATGGGGGCGTTCGGCTGCAATTCTCGGGATGTGAAGTTCAGCATCTGCGCTGGTAGATCCGCGATGGAAAACCTGCCTATGCCGGCATAGTCCCGCTGAATCCGCCCTGATACTAATTTGGCGTAACCCCCCGCTTAATCCGCCCCAATTCGGCCGACGACCTAGAGTCGGTCGATGTTGAGCGATCTGTCGTTTCGGAAACGGCAGATCTTTCAATGTTCAACGATCCCCGCGGTGTCAGGAACCAACGCCGGGGTCGACACGACACGAACCCAGAGAAATTCCGTAATTCCGCTTAGCTGTGCTGGAGCGTGTTCAGACGGAGCCCATCGAATTCGGTTGGGGGAGAATCAGGAGTCCTCCTCCGAGGGACGAGAAGAAGGCAGTGGACCAGGAGGAGCAGGACGACGACCAGAGGGAGCTGGAGTGAGCTGCAGGAGGCCGAGGAGGACAGGGGGGGGCAGCGAGGCACTACTCGAAGCTCGTCGGTCGCCAACTCTGGGGTCGACACGGCACGAACCTGCCGTAAAGTTGTTCTTGCGGAGGCCTCCAGGGAGTTGCTTCCAAGGAGTTTCGGAGGCCTAGAGGTGGACACCAGCACCAATATCGGCGGTGTGCCTGCACCGAAGCAAAGAGAGTGTCCCGATCTCGGTGATGGTGGTAATATTCTGGCTTCCTACGCAGGCGGCCGAAATATTACCACCAACACCGAACTCCAGGAGCATCTTCTCCCGGTGGAGGCAGCCCCCCGGAGTTGTCAGGAGCCTTGAAACGGGGGTCCAAACGGGGGGCAGCCAGAGCGCCGGGGTCGCATCGACCCGGGTTTGGGCGCAGGATCCTGCAGGATCTTGCAGGATCCTCCGCGTTGACCCGGGTGTGGGCGCAGGATCTTGCAGGATTCTGCAAGGCCTGGCTGACCCGGGTTTGGATTGACCCGCGTCAGGAGATCCCCTGTGTTGGTGTTGGTCCATGCCCAGGTCTCCAGGAGTTACGCTTCCCCGAGGATGAGGAGGAGGAGGAGGAGGAGGAGGTGGAGGAGGAGGAGGAGAAGGAGGAGGCAGGAGGAGGAGGAGGAGGAGGAGGAGGAGGAGGGGGGGAGGAGGAAGGAGGGAAGGAGGAGGGGAGAAGGAGGGGGGGGAGGAGGGGAGGGGGAGCAGGGGGGGGGGGGGCTGAGGAGGGAGGAGGAAGGGAGGAGGAGGAGGAGGAGGAGGAGGAGGAGGAGGAGGAAGGGGAGGGAGGAGGGGAGTGGGAGAAGGGGGGGAGGGGGGAGGAGGGGAGGGAGGTTTGGAGGAGAGGGGAGACCAGCCCCCGCGCGGGCTGTCCAGGGCGATTCGCTTCGGGACCCGCCTGCAGTCGGCGGCGCGGCTGAGGGGGGCGCGAGCGGGGTCGGCGGGGGTGGGCTTCGGAGTTTGTCGAGCACGTGGCGGAATTTGGAACCCTGCCCCTCCTTCCCGTCGATTCAAGAGGACCGATGGTTGGTGGGGGTACACATTGTTCATTTCTGATTCTTCGAGAGTTTTTAGCCTTTTGGGGGGGGCGAGATCCTTTCATTTCTAATTGTCCTATCCTGGGCCTCTTCCTGGCCACTGGGGGGCCAGGAACAGTTAGAAGCGAGCAGAACTCGAAAGGAGCACGATTAGAAAGGAGCGGCGTGTAGGGTCCGGACGTCAACGCCGAAGGGGGGAGGCCTTCTCAGACGGTGTCGCGGGGCCTCTCAGAAGCCCCCCCCCCCGGCCTTCTGAGAGGGCCTCTGTGTTGGACAGTGCGCAATCAAGGGCTCCCATGAGGGCGCGAAGTTATTCGCGCTTCGCGCTTCGCGGTCCTCGTTCCTTCTCCCCCTCCTCCTCGTCCTCCTATTCTCCCTTTGGGAGGGCGGCGCGAGAGCGCGAAGTTATTCGCGCTTCGCGCAGCGCGAAGCGCGAAGCTGGGAGCCCTTGGCAATGGGGGGTCATAAATGAGGGGGGTGGCGAGGGTGGTCCGAAAAGGTACCCAAACGGTACCTAAACGAGCCCCCTGGGACTCCAGAGGGGCCCGAAAGGGGCACGAAAGGGGACCGTTTCTGACCCCCCCCCAATGATGACCCCCCCATGAAGCCACGCCCAACTGTGTCGGGGCTCACGCAACGGGGGTCGGCCATGACGGGGGCCACGGCCAACCCCCTCTGGCGGACCCGGGCTTTGGGAGCCCCGCGGGGCCGTTCTCTGTCCGCCCTCCGCCCGGCCTGGGCTTGGGAGCCGCCGAGCGGCCCGCCGGGCTTCGCGGCGGGGTCCCGGCCGACCCCGGGGTACAGTCGGGGCGTTGAAGAAGGAACCCTTCTCGTTGGGGAGGGGCTCCGTGTTTCTTCATTGTTTCACAGTTTGCCCGAATTAGGTTTTCTTCAGATTTTCGATGGGGAGTCAAAGCTTAGCTTATGGGAAAAAGGGGCCTCGTTCCTTATTTAGGGTTCCTTAGGTCAACGCCCCGATTGTAGTGCGTCCCCGGCTGCGGCTTCGGAGATCCAGGCCTCCCAGATGGTGTCGGAGAAGATGGGGTCGGAGGATCGCGCCGCATCGCCGATGCATCGACGATGCGGCTCGATGTGGAGCCCGGGTCTCCCCACTCCGACCTCGCCGATGCATCACCGATGCATCGCCGTTACATCGGCGATGCATCGGCGAGGCGGCGCGATCCTCCGACCCCATCTGCCCAGACCCCATCTAGGAGGCCTGTGGAAGAAGGCTCAGAGAGCTTTTCAGGAAGCCTGCCGAACTTCCTGAGAGGGTCCGCCCCCTGGTGGTTTTCGGGCCCTAGCTCCGGCCTCCGGTGGCCGTTCGGGACGATCCAGGCCAACGAGAGCTGCCGAAAGTTTCCGAGAGCTACCCCACGGGAGCTTCGACCCGTCACCATCAGCATCACCAGGACCATCACCATCGTCATCCTCGTCTTCCTCGTCCTCCTCCTCCTCCTCCTCCTCGTGCTCCTCCTCTCCTCCTCCTCCTCCTCCTCCTCCTTCTCCTCCTCCTCCTCCTCCTCCTTCTCCTCCTCCCTCCCCCTCTTCTCCTCGTCATCGCTCTTTCTCCTCCTCTCCCCTCTGCCTTCCCTCCCCCCGCCGTGGGAGGAGCTCGTCGGCGACATGCTGCCCTTCCAGGACCGCCGCCTCGCGGGGGGCGGCGGCGGCGCCGCGCGCCCCGCCCGTCGCCTCGCCCGGGGGGGCTCCTGGGCGTTCCAGGGGGGCTCCCCCCGCGAAGGTGGGTTGTTCCTCCTCCTCCTCTCTCCTGATCCTCCCTCGTCGCCTCCTCCTCCTCCTCCTCCTCCTCCTCCTCCTCCTCCTCCTCCTCCTTCCTCCTCTTTCCTCCTCTTTCCTCCTCCTCCTGGGCGCTGGGCACGGATGGCGGCGGGTCCGATCCTCGCAGCAGCCACGCCCCCCCCCCCCTTCTCCCAGGGGCGCTTGCCCCTGGGGGCTCGTAGAAGCCCCCCTGGGGACGGGGCTATTCGCCTGCGAGCCTCGCCGAAGGCATGGACCACCGGCGCCCCTGGATACATTGGGCTATTCGCCTCCATCGTCGTCCCCATTGCTCGGATGTCTTGCTCTCTCTCTCTCTCTCACACTCTCTCTCTCTCTCAGTCTCTCGGGTTACTCGCCCCCTATCGGCAACCCCGAGAGGGAGGAGAGGAGCTCAGGTCTCAGGGAGGGAGGGGGTCTGCGGGATGTGGCAGTCTTGTTGGCGACTGCTAGCTGGGGAAGGAGAGGATGCTTCCTCCTCCTCCTCCTCCTCCTCCTCCTCCTCCTCCTCCCACTTCCTCTTCGCCTCCTCCTCCTCCTCCTCATCATCATCAGCATCATCATCATCATCATCATCATCATCATCATCATCAGCATCATCATCATCATTATCAGAATTGCCATCATCATCAGCATCATCAGCATCAGCATCAGCATCAGCATCAGCGTCAGCATCAGCATCGTCATCATTGGTAATCATCATCCTCTGCATCATCATCATCATCGTCGTCGTCATCATCGTCGTCATCATCGTCATCATCGTCATCGTCATCATCATCATTTCCTCCTTGTTCGCCTCCGCCTTCTCCTCCTCCTTCTCGCCCTCCTCCTCCTCCTTCCTCACCCCCTCCTCCTCCTCCCTCCTCCTCCTCCCCTCCTCTCTCCTCCTCCTCCTCCTCCTCTCCTCCTCCTCCTCCTCCTCCTCCTCCTCCTCCTCCCCTCCTCGCCTCCTCCTCCTCCTTCTCCTCCTCCTCCTCATCATCATCAGCATCATCATCATCATCATCATCATCATCATCATCATCATCATCATCATCATCATCATCATCATCTTTATCTTTATCATCATCATCATCATCATCATCATCATCATCATCATCATCAGCAGCAGCAGCATCATCATCATCATCATCATCATCATCATCATCATCATCATCATCATCATCATCCTTTCCTCTGTCCCTCCTCCTCCTTCGTCTCGCCTTCTGGCCCGCAATGGGATGGTGGGCGGGAGGGTGGGGCTCCACACGGCCTCCGCCAGATGCGGCCCGAGAAGGTGGCAGGGACGGGCCCTGGGAGGGGCCTCGGGGCCAATCTCGTGGGCGGGTTTGGGGGGAGCAGCGAGGAGGAGGAGAAGGAGAAGGAGGAGGCGGAGGAGGAGGCATGATGAGGAGGAGGGGGAGGTCCCCAGGTGGCTGGACTTCGAGAAGCAGCCACAAAGACATGGGTTTTTGAACCCTGGCGCGCTCGTCTGGCGCCTAGCCTAGTTTGCCTTTTGAGCCCGAGGGTGTAGATCCAAGGGAAGGCCTGAAACTGATGGCGGAGGAGAGAGGAACGAGGAGGGAGCACGAGGAGGAAACGCGGAGGCACGATGGGACCAGGAGGCGGGAGGAATGATGGGGCCCCCCCTGCGCCCAGCCCGCCCGCCCCACCTCACTCCCCCACGACGCCTCCCCCTCCTCTGCACCCTCTCTCCCCCTTCTCTCCCTTCTCCTTCCCTCCCCCCCTTCCATCCTCCTCCAACCTCCCCCCCCCCTTCCTCCCCCCTCGTCCCTCCTTCCCCCCGCAATCCCCCACAAGTATCCGACGCGAATGCTACTCTCCTCTGTCCCTGGCCTGTCGCGTATACTGTGCGCTGACACGCACGATTGTTGATATTCGGCGTTCGGTATGTTCCTCTTCTCAGGACGCCTTGGTCCTTCAAGCATAATGCTCCCGATGGAGCGTTGGCCGCATTTCAGGACCGGCGCTTTGCTCCCATCGTTCAGATTTGCGCTCTCGCCCAGCGCAGGTCACACTTCTGGCTCCGATGCTTTCCTAGTCGCTGCCGTCCCCCTCCCTTGTCCTCCTCCGCCTTCCCCTGGTCATCCTGAGCCTCCTGTTCCTCCTGCTGCTGCTGGTCCTCTCCCTCCTTGCTCTTTCTCCTCATCCTGCTAAGTATCCTGCTC